CTGGCTATTTAGGAGGCCATAATGGCAGAAATGGGGATATGGACCAAGACAATATGGCCTGCAAAATCCAAAATATTTACTACCTGGTCCATTACAAAAAAAAAAAAAAAAAAAAAAAAAAAAAAAAAGGCTACCAACTTCTGAACTATGTTCCTAGAGCACAGATCTTTGAGGGCATGGACTGAGTGTGTCTTGTTCCCAATAATACCCCCAATGCACAGTGCTGAAAAATGGCAAATGGCTGCTGAAAAAAATGACACCCTATAACAAGTATTAAAAAAAAAAAATGTGATCGGGCTGGGGATGTGGCTCAAGCAGTAGTGTGCTCGTCTGGCATGCGCGCAGCGTTGGGTTCGATCCTCAGCACCACATACAAATAAATATGTTGTGTCCGCCTAAAAAATAAATATTAAAAATTCTCTTTCTTTAAAAAAATCTGATCACTACAATTCTTTCTTTGTAAGAAAGTATTATGCAAAACAATTCACTAATAAACAATCTATCAGCAACATATGCTCTGCAAATGACTTTTCTTTGGTCAAAATTTTATTATCTGGTTCTGCAGATTAATTGTACCCAGATCCCTATTTATGCCAAGCACAAACTCAACCAATGAGCTACACCCTTAGTTCTCTCTCTAGTCAAAATGTTTATATTTTTATAAACAAATGTAGTATATATATATCTTTTCAAATCAAACTGTGGCACATTTGACAATATTTTTCAGTATCTACTTTGTGCCAAGATATGCTAATTCTTGAGCAGATCATGGAGAAGTGGATTTAGATGATAAGGAAAACAGTTCCTCACTGACAGTAAGGTTAAGAAGCCAGTCAGGTAGTGCAACACACTGTGGGACGATGGGTGAGGCAAACGGTACAGCAGAATGTTGTATAAAATCAAGGTATAATAGCCCAAACAGTTTTAGGAATAACCTGTCTAAAAAGACAAGCTGTGAGTGTAGAACACAAGTACACACTACAGAGAAGACCCTACACTTTAGGAGAAACTATAATTGAATTCAAGAAAGCTGCTTATTTTTAAATTCATTCACTCATTTATTCAAATATTTGCTGAATGACTCATATAAACAAGCCAGGTGGTAAGAATCAGAAATATAATCATGAGTAAAAACAACCCATGAGCAGGTGTGGTAGAGCAGGCCTGTAAACCCAGTGGCTCTGGAGCTAGCTTCAGCAGCATGAGGCCCTCATAAATTCAGTGGGACCCTGTCTCTAAATAAAATACAAAATAGGGCTGGGGATGTAGCTCAGTGGTTGAGTTCAATCCCTGGTACCCCCCTCCCCCCAAAAAAACCCAAACCAAACAACAACCACCAAAAAAAAAAAAAAAAAAAAAAAAAAAAGCACTACACAGATTCAACACAATCTCTATCAAAATACCAATGACATTCTTCAGAGAACTAGAAACAACAGTGATGAAATTCATTTGGAAAAATAAGAAACCCAGAATAACCAAGAAATCCTAGGGAGAAGAGCAAGTTGGATATCACAATATGTTGCTTCAAATTATACTACAGACCCATAATAATAAAAAACAGCATGGTACTGGYACCAAAACAGACATGAAGATCAGTGGAACAGAATAAAAGACACAGAGATAAATCCACATAAATATAGGCCCAACATTCTATCATGTAGGCTTATGAACTGACTTTCTTAAGCAGACTCGTAAAGTATAAGAAGTAAAATCAAGAATCAACAAATGGGATGGTATCAAACTTAAAAGCTTCTTCACAGCAAAGGAAACAATCAAGAGCATGAAGAGGGAGCCTACAGAATAGGAGAAAATCTTTGCCAYCTGCACCTCAGATATAGCATTAATCTCCAGGATATATAAAGAAAACAAAAGTTTAACAACAACAAAAAACCAAATAACCCAATTAATAAATGGGCAAAAGGAACTGAACAGACACTTCACAGAAGAAGAAATAAGATAGGTCAACAAATATATGAAAAATGTTCAACATCCTTAACAATTAGAGAAATACAAATTAAAACTACACTGAGATTTCATCTAACTCCAGTCAGAATGGTAACAATCAAGAAAACAGTAACAATAAATGTTGGAGAAGATGTGGGCAAGAGGGTATACTCATACATTGCTGTGGGATTGCAAATTGGTGCAACCTTTCTGGAAAGCAGTATGAAGATTCCTCAGAAAACTTGGAATGGAACCATCATTTGACCCACCTATTCCACTCCTTGTTTATACTGAAAGGACTTAAATGCAGTGACATACTCACATCAATGTTTATAGCAGCTCAATCCACAATAGCTAGGCTATGGAATCAACCTAGGTGACCTACAATAGATGAATGGATAAAGAAAATGTAGTATATATACACAATAGAATATTACTCAGCCATAAAAAAAGAGTGCCTTTACGACATGCCATAAAATGGATGGATCTGGAAACTATCAGGCTAAATGAAATAAGCTAATCTCCCCAAATCAAAAGTCAAATGTTTTGATACGTGGATGCTAACACACAATGGGCGTGGAGAATAGAAGTTCAGTAGGTTAGAGGGGAACGAAGGGAAGATAGTCGAGATAGGAATAGGAAAGACAGTGGAATGAATCTGACATAAATTTCGTATATATATATATGAAGACACTACAGTGAGAAAGGTTACTTGCAGAGTTCACACAAAGTCCAAAGACCACACCACACAACTCAATCTCACGCAAGAGATTTAGTCAGTAGCCCAAGGCAAACCAACAAGGCTGTCCCTCTGAGGAGAGCAGCAGTCAGTTGGCACTCAAAGAGCAGCTTTATACTCCACAAGAGAAATTTCATAAGCTGCTTAGGAGTTGTGTCATTGCTGGAGTGGGGTTGATCCTTTAGCAGGCACTTTCTTACCAGAATTTAAGCAGCACTGCCTCAGAATCAAAACTTTGGAGCCTCTAGATAAAATGGTTCCCGACCTAAAATGGTCAATCTGATGCCAATATAGCGAATCTCTACATCATGTACAACCGTAAGACTGGGATCCTACTTTGAATAAGATGTACTCCACGTTTGTAGAAATAAGTCAAATCATCCTCTACTGTCATGTATAAGAACAAAAACTAAAAACAAAAAAAAGTAATCACATTAGAAAATATTGTTTTAAGCAGGATTTTTTTTTTTTTTTTTAAATCTGACTCTTCATTTTTAAACTCAGCACACCAAGGTTTATAATTCTTGGTGTGTTTTTCTGCCCATGTAGTCTGAAAGATCCTTTAAGAAAGCAATTGCACTGTCAAAAAAGATAATAATAATAATTTTCCTAAGTCCCAGACACTCTAAGCCCCTAGATGAGAAGAAAACCAATTTAAAAGTGTTTTATTTTATGGGGTGTGGTCATAGAAGCACAGTACTAACAACAGTGGGCCTCAGCTCTCCAAAATGTTTATCTGTGGACTTTGCAAAATTCATTAAATCTTCTAGTTCTAAAATATGTGAAATAGGAAAACTTACTGATTCACCTCTGATAAGATGATGCAAGCTTAAGATTAAATAATGTCAAAATAATAATAATTATTGCCCATCCCATATGCAATAAAATTGTGTAAAGAAAATTTAGTCATTAAGAACAAACAAACAAACAAAAACCCCAAAACAAAAATTTGTTGCTTTCTCCCCAACCTTACCCACAGAAAAATTTTAGGCTTAAAAAATTATTGGGGGGCGGCRGTGCTGGGGTTGTGGCTCATCTGTAGAGCACTTGCCTAGCATGTGTGAGGCACTGGGTTCCATCCTCAGCACCACATAAAAATAAATAAACCAAAGATATTCCGTCCAGACCCCCCCCCCCCCAATCTAGAAGCCAGGTGTTGTGGCACACCCCTGTAATCTGAGCAGTTTGGGAGGCCGAGAGGCAAGTTTAGCCTGAGCAAAAGCAAGGTGCTAAGCAACTCAGTGAGACCCTGTCTCTAAATAAAATACCAAAAAGGGCTGGGGATGTGACTCAGTTGTCAAGTGACCCTGAGTTCAATCCCCAGTACCACCCCCACCAAATAATAATTCCACAAACAGTGGGTGTGGTGGAGCACACCTGTAATCCTAGCTAGTTGGGAGGCTGAGATGGAGGGATTGTAAAATCCAGGCAAGCCTGGGTAACTTAGCAAGACCCTGCATCAAAATCAAATAAAAAGTGCTGGAGATATAGATTCAGAGGCAGAGTACTTGCCCAACATATGCAAAGCCCTTAACTGCAAAAATAATTCCAGAAGTATCTGTGATTACAATTGCTTTAACTTCAGTTATAATCCACTTATAACTTTCAAACAGTCTAGTATGAACAAATGCTGAAATTAATCCAGGATTCTATAAATATGTGAGTATTTTTAATGCACCCGATATCTAAGGGGTTGTTAGGGTTTAGCAGTAAACATGTAAGAAAACGTTAGAAAATTAAAAAGAGAGTTTGCCCTTCAGGGAATTATGAATAAATTCCATTAAATACTGAAGGGGATACTATATAAACAGTAATTTATATTACTTTCTGAAAATCTAATTAAAGAAGTTACCTCATAAAAGTTTAAAGTCAAAATGTGGATAAACTTTGTGGTCAAGTGGTTGTTTCAATGAGAAAGTCATGGAATCAATAAAAATAAAATCGTTGCGATAATATTTATTCAAATTTCCTTTGGAAAAAAATAGGTAATAAAGTTTCCTCCAAAGAATAGTACTTAAAAGCCAGGAGCAGTGGTGCATGCCTGTAATCCTGAAACTTGGGCACAGACATTTCTTCTGAGACAGAAGAATTGTGAGTTCAAAGCCAGCAACAGCAAGGCACTAAGAAACTCAGTGAGACCCTGTATCTAAATAAAATACAAAAG